CTAACCGCTATAGGTGGTCTAGGATCAAAAGCTCCAGAAAAGCCTAGCAAGACAAGGATGGTTGCATGCTCACCATTCATAGCTTACCACACATCTATAATAGCGGCCAATGTGGCATTCATCCAGTACCACAGCCTGAATTGTATGAAGGATCAAAATAATAATCCAGTTCTTCCAGAACCCTCCACTTTCTTTACCATCTTCCCCCAACACTGAGACTGGATAGAAGATAATAGCTGTCCAATATGTACATGCCTTCAACTGAAGAAAAATATTAGACTAAATACAACATTACCTCAGTGTTATTAAAGTTAAGGAGTCACCACTCATACTAACAGATAATTTCAACCTGTATGTATGCAGACTATGGGATTTTATACATTAATTGTTTCCGAACCAGAGCTGACCAAACTCTAAAATTCAGACTGTAACCATTGCAGCTAGTATACCATTCAAAGTTGAACAAGCAAAATACAACATTGTAGTTTTAGAATTATTACTTTATAATAATTTAGTATAAGTATGAACACCTTTGAATATTAATTACAAAAAGGAGAGAAAGAGAGATCATGCACAGGTTTCCATATACCGAGGGCTAAAAAAAGGGCAAGCAATAGTGTTGAAATAGCTGAGCCTTTTGCAATCTAAAAAGCAAACACTTAAGAATCATGTATTGTTCAACATTAAAATAATACATTACTTGGAATAAATGGAATAGCAAATCAACACTTCTTTGATCTAGGTTACATGAGCTAATGGAGTATGGAATTGAGACATGGATTGCCATTCCCACAAAATAATATAACACTAACCTAACCATTATTTTCCTAAAAGGAAAAAGATAGCCTAATCTCCAAATTGAAAAGCACTTTACAGCTTTTTATTATGTCAATGTCCAGATATGGCACATAATGTAGAGTTTTACTATAAATGCATTCACCAAACATGTTTGCTAACTCACTTGTTAAATTCATCTTGCTGTCCATGTACCCACATCCTACTTATGTCTAGCAGAAACATTAGGATTATCAAGTCAATGGTAAGCAAAATATATAAGATCAAAACCCTCATTTTCTTTCCTAATAAATAAATGAAGAAAATAAAGTTAAACAACGAATCTGCAAACACCTACAGGCAAGCAAAGTTATAACCAGAAGCCAACATGGGTTTGTCAAAAACAGATCATGCCAAACAAATCTTGTCACATTTTTTGGCAAAGTGGACCAGAGAAATGCTACGAACACAATATACTTGGACTTTAGTAAGGCATTTGATAAAGTAGACCACAACCTACTTGGTAAGATAGAAACCTACTACTTGATAATATAGAAAAATGTGGGTTAGACAGCATAATCACCAGATGGATTTGTAACTGGCTGACTAAGCGCACTCAGCAAATGGTCCTCAATAGAACTACATGTACATGGAGAGAAGTATGCAGTGGAGTACCTCATGGTTCTGTCTTAGGCCCAGTACTCTTCAATATCTTCATAAATGATTTAGATGAGGGGATAGAAGGTGAACTCATCAAATTGCAGTCGTCACCAAGATGGCGGGATTAGTCAACATACCAGAAGATAGGCTCAAGATCCAGAAGGATCTTGATAGACTTGAACACTGAGCCCTATCCAACAAAATGAAATTCAATGAGAAAAGTAAGGTTTTACACTAAGAAAAACTAAATACACAGATATAGAATAAGTGGTACCTGGCTCAACAGTAATAACCATGAGGGATCTAGGAGTCCTAATGGGCAACTATTTAAATATGAGTCAGCAGTATGCTGCAATTGCCAAAAAAGCTAACACAGTCCTATGCTGCATTAATAAAGAGATAGACTCAAAATCACGTGAAATGTTAGTATTATTTTATAATGTCTTTGTCAGACTACATATTGCATCCAGATTTGGTTGCCACAATATAAAAAATAAGTTGAGACTCTAGAAAGAGTGCAGAGATTATTAGGGGACTGGAGACTAAAACATAGGAAAATGGTTGCAGGAATTGGGTATGTCTAGTTTAATGAAAAGAACTACAGGTGACATGATAGCAGTCTTCCAATATGTAAGTGGCTGCCACAAAGAACAGGGGGTCAACTTATTCTCCAAAGTATCTGAAGGCAGAACAAGAAGAAATGGATGGAAACTAATCAAAGAGAGAAGCAATCTAGAACTAAGGAGAAATTTCCTGACAGCAAGAATAATCAACCAGTGGAATGGCTTGGCTTCAGAAGTTGCGGGTGCTTTATCACTGGAGGTTTTTAAGAAGAGATTGGACAGCCATTTGTCTGAAATGATATAGGGTCCTCTGCTTGAGAGGGAGTTGGACTAGAAGACCTCCAAGTTCCTTCCAGCTCTATTATTCTGTATTCATAAAATATACCCTCAAAACACAAATCCTTTCCCTTCCCACCATTATAGTTTTGAAATTTTTATGTTTTTCAAGAATGGCAGAGGTGGCACAAAGAACAGAAATCAAGCAACCAACACAAATAACTGCAACTGGAGCAAACATGGCCAGGTAATGGAGTTCAGTTCAGAATCTAGGACTGATTGTAGGGAATGAATTTAGTGTGACATGCCGAGTATTCATGAGAAATAATTGCCAGTGCTCAATTGCCAGAGAGTACTTTCATATACTGGCAATTCCCGGATAGGAGAACCCAAGTATTTATGACATCTACTGGCCTTTCAAACTTTGTTTGTTGTCTGAAACACTAATATAACCCTAATATATCTAGACAGCTATAGATGCCAAGAACATCAGCATGATAAATGTGTGATGGTAAATGGTGGGAGGACATCTTTACATTCCTTAACCATAAATGTGGCTAGATTCCTTATTTTATTTGACACTAATAAAGAAAAGCCAGATGTTGACATTAATATGTTTAACACTATTTAACCAATAATCACTGTAAACCCTGTTTAGAATGGAAAAATGGTTGTGCAATATGTCAGAATTAAAGATTCCTGTTGCTTTTCTAAGCATTATGTTATTGGCTACTGGAAGCATAAAGTCTTTATATTTTGTTCTAATACCAACACTGATCTAAATATAGTAATAAGGAGGTTGATATAGAACACTCTACAACTATATTTTATAAAAGAATCCTTTAACTCTCTAAATAAGAAAATATCATCTGAATGGCTTCCTATTTTTCTTTAAAGTCTCTTCCAGATCTTCCTAATAAACTCAACACTAATCTGCTATTTAAATCTTATCTTCATGCTTTCCTTCTTTGCTGGTCCTTAGATCAGGATCATCTTTCTTGATACAACATTTGGCTTTCTATGTTTTTTCAATTACGATAATGAAATTCTTTAATTTTCTTCCTTTCTAATTTGCCATTTTTTAGTCATGGCAGGGTATTCCATTTAAATACTTCCCTTATCCCCATTGCTTCTTTGGAATTCTATCAATAACAATTGAAAATCATTGTTATTGTAAGTTCATAACCAGATAAGACATTGTATGTTTAGTCATTATAAAGTACAAATCTGCAATATGTGTATTATTATTTCAAATTTCAAGATCATTTATTATAGTCTCAGTTTAAAAACATCAATAATGATCCATTTTTGGCTGTGCTTTTAGATGAAGTATAGCTTGTTCAGTCACCCCAAAGCCATAACTGTCTCATTAAAAGACTTGTTCTCTTTCTTTGAAAAAAGAGAGGGAAACATCATGATATGTTTAGTGAAAGAATCTACCTTTTCTTAAAAACTTCCTTAAAACCAAATGAAATGCTGTTTTTTTCTTTCTCTAATGGATGAGATGAGATATCCAAGTTCTTTGCCAGTAGCAAAACTGCTAAAAAACCACTGACCTGACACTACAGAGACTTGAAGTAAGTGAAGATGGTCTAAAATTAAAATCAATTGTATGGGTTCTATTTCAAATAAAAGAAGAAAAAAAAACCAAGTTGGCTGGCATTTCCAGAAGTCATACATTCGAATCTACCCAATATGAATATGAGGGTAAACATCTGAAGACAGACTGAATAGCTGAGAATAAAGATGTTAATTCTTATTGCTCTTTCTTTTGAAATATAACAAATTCCCATCCCTAAGATAAACGAAAAGAAAGAAAGCAGACAAATCAAATCCTGTATGATTCCTGGCTGTAGTTCAGCCTGTCAATGATACTATAGATATATTCTATAGACATTCACCTGGCTGAGAGTCAAACAGGTGCACAGAATGATAAAAACTGTATCTTGCCAACTTGACAGAAAGATGAGGAAAGCAGATCATATGGAATTTTTTACGGGTTAATCATAAATCATACTTCAGGCAAGCAGGTCACGAATAACAAAATACAGGGGATGACAATGGAGGGCTGGGTTGCAATATAACAAAAAGATTATTTTCCAAGAGAACATAAAATTTTTAACAAGTGATCATTTGTTTAGTCTTAGTATTGCTGGTGCTCAGCATTATTTCTGTGAAGATTTTCATTCCTTTTTCATTGCTACTATCCTCAACCTATTCCAAGATGGCATTTTATTCTGTAGTTTCCTAGCTTTTGAGAGGGATCTTGACTACACGATAAAGCAATTTTCTCTGACTATTAACAGTAGATAAATAAGTGATCAAAGTATTACAGCTATGCAGATTTTCAACAGTAATGGGTGGGCAAATGAAGGAAGGAAGGAAGGAAGGAAGGAAGGAAGGAAGGAAGGAAGGAAGGAAGGAAGGAAGGAAGGAAGGAGGGAGGGAGGGAGGGAGGGAGGAAGGGAGATGAGGATGAGGAGTTGTTTATACAAATGAGGTAAAGTATTCCTGCTTTTAAAAATAGCATGGAACAGAGCATAGTAAAGCAACGAGATCCTGAGACTTCAAGGATTCAAACCACTACAAAGTGAGGAGGTTACCCCAACTCTTTTTAGTAATATGCACCTAAAATAAATATCATACTAAGTACATACCTACTAAGCTGTTCTTGATTTTCCTAGCTTCCCTCCGAGATAACTAGTTTAATTCATACACAGTCTTTACCTGAGAGCCGTCTGGGCACATCGGTGATGGCAGGAAGCCCTGTGCCTCGTGTGGAGGACAAGGGAGTTGTGGAATGAATGGATGGTGAAGTCATCTGGCTCAAATATGATGGGTAAGACTGGTCATAGGACCATGGAGGGGATGACTGTGCTTGTCTGGGGTCTAAAAACAAAACAAAAGAGAAAATAATTTAAAACGAAAGGCAGACAGGAACAGTTGGTGGAGACAGAAAGTCTAAGTATGGTATGTAAGATGGGAACATGTGAGAAGAACTGCAAGCACTGGGTCTTTTTTTTCCCCTTTTTACTATTCAGAACTGACAACATCAGGCTGACTCCTGAAACTTGAAACTAAGAAGTATTCATGTAAAATGAAGCCCAGTTTGATTTCAGTGAGGCTTTTGAGGACTGCAGCTGAAAGATATGTCCAATACAAGACTGATCCAAATGCTTTCCAAAAGGAAGATTAACTTCCAGGTTAGAATCTGGTGAAGGGATAAAGGACATTTAATAGCTGATGTAAAAACCATTGTCAGGAATGAAGGTCCAGAAGTTAGGAACTCCGATATTAAGAATCTTCAAGGACATGGGAAATGGAAGAGGCACAACAGAAATAAATCTAAAATGAGAAGGGACAACAGAATCCTGGATGATTTCATTTCAGAACTATGGTTATAGTTTTCAGCTCTTTAGACTTTTATTATTCCAAGCTTTATCTGAAAGAATTTATTACTTGTGAAACACATATTGGCATCCTAGATGTTGGAGATAACAGTAGCCAAAGTGGAACACATACACGCAAACACACCCACCCAGCCACCCACACACAAACATGCATACCAGGAAATATCAAAATAGTGCCCTAAAGAAAATTCTGGGGAACCCAACAGCATAATGAATACTATTCTACAATAATGACTGTATTTCTAATAGACGCTTGGTGAAAATTTTTCAGTTTGCCTTATGACACAAACTGGTCACGGGGCAAGATAATATATTTAAAAAGTATTTTTAAAAACTAGAACTAGCAACAGTTTAATATAATTTACATTGTTCCTAATCCAACCAAGTGTGTGTACTCTCTTTCTCTCCACTAACTTACATTTTTTGAAGATTCCTTGACAGGCTTTCCTACTGCTGGAGAATGAAATAACTTTCCATTGAAAATGTGATTATATGAAGAACATTTAAATAAAACTCCTGTTATGCTAGACATTTATATATAACTTTGCAAGGACAAGACCTCCTCTCTATCACCCCAGAATGGAAACCACAGAATGAGGGATGTAAACTACAGAAAATCAGATCTGACTGAAAGAACTACCTAATTATAGGAGCAATGTGACAGTGGACCCAATACCTAGAGAGAGGTGGTGGGTTCTCCTTTACTGGGTGGATTCAGAGCAGAAATTGGCCAACTATCAGGTGTTTGAGGGCTGTTCCAACTCTCTGATTCAAAGATTCTAGCCATTGTTGCTTAGTCATTGTCCCTCTCCTTATTAAATCCCCTGCTACTAACTTTACAATCTGTTAGTGAAGATGTCATATTTCCTATTTCCTTCTGTATGTATGTGGTTTGGAAGGGATGGGAATTTAAACTAATTTCAAAAGAGAAATGCCAGTTTTAGGAACAGGCAGAAAATAGGCAAAAAATAAGATAGGAGATTAATTTATCCATTTCATCCATCTAGATCCAATGGTTCTTAAACTTGGATATATCCTGGGGTAATGGAGCAATTTGTATATGCTTGCTTGTAATTTGAGAATGTAGTTGGGGGCAGACACTTGTGTAAAACAACAAGAATATGTTGGGGGGTATTACATTATCTGAGGTTGGGAAAAGGAATAATTGGATCAAATAATTTAAGAATCACTGATCTAGGCTATAACCATGTAACTTGGTAGGTTGAGACTGAAGCCTTTTCTGGATTTACCAAAAGATGCTAGAAACCATGTTTGGAAACTTTTATCCAAATGCTATGTTTGTCGTGTGAAAGTGATACAGTGAGAAAGTCCTGTAAATTCTTTTAGTATTTGCACAGGATTATACACATCAGGAAGTCAGCACAATTACTTGTCAATTTATATTAAAAATGATATATTGCTTGTTGGTTTCTGACAGTTACTTTGCTTTTCAATCCCACTTCACAGAATATTTTGATCTGAATCAAATAATATTTTGATCTGAATCAACTTTCATTTCCTGACTGGAAAAATAAGCTGGAAAAGAAGTTCCGTTAACAGTATCAAGCAATGCAGGACTGAAAACAAGAACTTGTTCATCCATGCAAGAGAAATTGCTTTCTGATTCTTCTGGGAGGATATTTGAGCAGCAAACCATTATCTTTTCTAGAGTACTTCTATTTATAGAATAACTGTATGTTAATGTAATTTTACCACTGTTTTGCAAATAGAGACCTGTGTATAATAAATTAGCTGGCAGAAGAAAATTTTTCTACTATTCAGGAAATTTATATAATTACAAGAAAAACATTTTCTCTCCCTCTCTATCTAACATCTTGTAGATTCAGCTTTCCCCCTTCCACTATTCAGACATGATTTGCTTGAAGAAGATAAAAGATGGATGGATGGATGGATAGATAACTTCATTATACTTATTACACTTTAAGTGCTTCCTAAATGCAAAAATTTTATTTTGTTTGCAATTTTAGGGATGAATGTCCTAACTTTATTTCAATGCTAAGTAGCTGCTAATTAAATATAGTAAAATATATCAATACTATAATTCATTACTTAGCACATTATAAAAGATTTCAGAAAGAATTTGGCTGAGAAAGTTTTGCTTAACAAAAGCAAACTGATTATTAGCAATAGGTTAGAGTAGATACCTAAAGGAAGTTCAATCTGATTTTTTTTCTTTTACATTCAAATTTCAGCAGAGTAGGTAGCATAACAAATGCTAATAACAACTAAACTAACATAGACAGACAAGAGCTTAAAATCCAAAACTTTTCTAAATCAGGATACCAGTAAATGTTGCCAAGCTTAGGTCCGCTAAAACTTATGTGTGGAGCTGCAGGAGCTCCAAAACAGTGTCCAGCTTTTGAGATGACGCTTGATGATTTCTGAAACTTCCCTATATATATAGAACTTATTACATGCACCTTTTCAAGAAAAACCACATTATATGCTTATGGTATTTGTATTTAACTATCTGCATTAAAGTAGAGAAGAGGATAAGGTACAAAAACCAATTATGAAAAAAGATGGCAGAGGTTTTAAGCATATATTTAAGCATTTAAAAGATCTTAGAAAGAAAACAATGATACAAGCTACAACAGGTAAGACAAGAAACAAATGCTTTCAGCAACCAAGGTGCATATTTAGACTGAATCATAGAAATAATTATGTATGAGTGGTTCAGAAGAAGGAAGAGAGGCAGTGATAGCAATAGAGGTCTAGGGAAAAGCAAAAGCATTTGCTTTGGAAATCTAGGCATTGCTGTGATAAACATCTCCTGAGGTCTCCTGAAATTAGGGAGAAGGAATAGTTTCAACTCAAACCACAGATTTCATGATTCTTATCTCAGTTTCTTAATGTAAAACTCTTACTCCCCATCCTGCACATAGCATTTTTAGTTATTTCTTGCACTGAACTGTGCTTCCCAGCCTATTAAAAAAAATTGTGAGCAAAATGGTAATCCCATCCTCATTTTGTGAAATGTAACCAATTGTTTTAAACACGTCAATAGCAAAGAAAGCTATTTTTTTAGTCTGTGGTGAACAATGAAATATGATTATGCTTTCTGGAATATTATGCCAAGTAAAAATGAAAATACCTTTTGCATGCAAAGATTCCAGATCACATATAACTCTTTAGAATTAAAACAAATAATATTCATATTAGAATTAAATACAAATGGACAAATCCACATCATCTACATAATAATAATAATAATAATAATAATAATAATAATAATAATAATAATAATAATAATAATAATAATAATAATAATAATAAAAATAAAGTTGGAAGGGACCTTGGAGGTCATCTAGTCCAACCCCCTGCTCAGGCAGGAAACCCTATACCATTTCGGACAAATGGCTGTCCAGTCGCTTCTTAAAAACTTCCAGTGTTGGAGCATTCACTGCTTCTGGAGGCAGATTGTTCCATTGGTTAATTGTTCTCACTGTCAGGAAGTTTCTCCTTAGTTCTAGGTTGCTTCTCTCCTTGCTTAGTTTCCACCCGTTGCTTCTTGACCTGCCCTCAGGCGCTTTGGAGAATAGCTTGACTCCCTCTTCTTTGTGGCAGCCCCTGAGATATTGGAACACTGCTATCATGTCCCCCCTCGTCCTTCTCTTCATTAAACTAGACATACCCAATTCCAGCAGCCTTTCCTTATATGCTTTGGCCTCCAGTCCCCTAATCATCTTTGTTGCTCTTCTCTGTACTCTTTCTAGAGTCCCAACTTCTTTTTTACATTGTGGTGACCAAAACTGGATGCAGTATTCCAAGTGTCACCTTACCAAGGCATTGTAAAGTGGTATTAATCTCTCTCTTTCAGTTAATTAACAGAAAAAACTGCACTCTGTAAGTGAGACTTTTATTGTATAATATCTATTATAGACCCTGCACATTTCTTAAACCCTGAATGGCTTTTTTAGGAGTCATTTTCTGGGGCTCTAGGATAATTCACCCCGGCTGACTCACCCCAGCCAACTTGTTGCAGGACAACTTGCTGACAATATACAGGGAATCCCAAAACCTTTTAATAAGAAAGACCCTGGGTTTGCTTTAAGATGTAATTTGCTGGGTGGTAGACAGATGCAGATGAAGCATAACAATAGATCTCTCACCCATCAACCTGCCTATGACATGCCTTCACTCTAAAAGATGGGCAAAAGGGAAGAAATAAGTTGAGCGAATCACTAACTCCTATTTGCTAAAAAGATGGTTTTGTGAAACTATTTCAAAGTGGTTACTAATACTTGCCCTTCTGTAGGAGTAAGATGAAAGTGCCTCCTCTACTCCAAGTCATTTAGAGTAAGGTCTGGGAATGCAGAGATTAAAAGGTACCCAGGGAAAGCACTAGATATGTTGAAAGCATATTATGGAAAATCTCACAAATCAGCTACTCTGGTGTGTATTGCCAGTCACTAAGAACATAATCAAAACCTTGCCAGAAAGACCGGTGGTAAAGCC